GAATATATCAAATTTATCTAAGTAATTCCATATTTGAATTTAATGACGAAACTTGAATAGGAGTTTTTATTATTGTTATATCATAAGTAATAGAATTTCCAATAATTCGATGGATATATTCTTTTCATCGTTTATCTCAATGGTTAAATTAAAAAACGTTTGGAATAAATTCTATATATTAGAATATTCAATATAATAATTAATACAAGTCGCATAGATATATCTTGTCATATCCTATTTATCATTTATATAATTGACAAATTAGAACAAACGAACCAAACTTAGTAAATATATTTATTCAATTATTATTTTAAATGAAGGTCAATTTAATAATGGAGAAATAAAAATGATAATATCATTTTGCAAATCATTTTTATATACATTTTCTTCGACTTTATTTAGAAGTATTTCATTATAATAATAATTGAAAATAGTTGCATGTTGTAATGATGTACATGTGTTCCATAATTTCAATGCTCCTGTTAATATACCAATAAATTCCCATTGATTTCTGTCTGATGATAAAAAACAAGGACCACCATTGAAACCATAAGTTGATGGAGTATCTATAAACAACTTTCGATTATCAATTAATCGTAATTGTCCAGTACAATTCATGAATTTATTATTTAAAAGAAAATGTTCTGGTGTTTTACCATGAATTGCAGGAATACTTATCAAAGGTGATGATGAAGGAAAAAATGGATCTATTATAAGATCAAATGAGACTGGTGGTCTACCAACAAATCCAATTACACTTATAGATGAACCAGATGATATTGATTGACTATTGTTTAATGCTGCTTGACATATTTCAATGTAATTAAACATATTCGTTTCAATATTTGAACATTTTATAATGGCTAAATAGAACAAAAAAAGAATTCATTTCTGAAATTTTCAATATTATTTATAATAGAGATTGAAAGTGAAGCCTTACATATTAGAATTATTTAAAAATTTTAATAGAAAATAATTAAATAAGAAATTTCTAAAAGTTAAATATTAAATTGAAACATAGCATATCGAAAGAGAAACAAAAATCTATCTATTTTAAAGAGCTATACAATTAACATATTTATTTAGTTTTGATTATTTATTCATATGAATTTACTAAAAGTATTTTTATTTTGAATTACTCTTAACTATGACTAATTATTTTATAGAAATTATTTTTTTTAAATATATATTCGTGTTTTGAATTCAACTTTATTCATATCAGTTTAATAAAAAAAAAATGTTCAAGTAGATTAAATTTGAAAATCATTGTCGATAGTTGATAAGAAATCGAAATTTCTAAAAATAGATTTTCTTTTTTGAATTATTTATTATATTAATATCAGAATTATCGAAACATGTTCGATCATAATCAACTTTCAACGAAAAAAATAACAAATCATTTCAATATTCAATGGACTTATCTCGTTTCTTTTTTTTTAAATCAATAATAATGATTTTTGGTTTTGACTATAAAATACAATAACTAATAATCTATCTACTGAAATATTGTGCTCAGTTATTTTTAGAAATTTTGGCTAATTCATTCGAAAAGAGATTTACCTTTTGTTAATTATTTCTTTTTACGGATTCAAATCAAAGTAGGAAAAAAGAATCGTATTTAACAGATGGTTTTTTTTTATTAGATTTAATCTATGAACTTGTTAACATATAATTATATCCTACTTATATGTTATTATTTAAAAATTGAGGCTCAAGAAGATCCATATGGTTCAGAGTAAAAATAAGATTTAGTTTTTTTAAAATGAATTTATTTATAGTTTTCTTACACCTCTACAATTCTTTTTTTCATTATGATATCCAAGAAAAAGTTGTCTTTATCTGAATATGTATTTTCTTATTTAAGAATTAGTTTCAATAGAATATTAAAACAAGCACACCGATAAACTTCTATCTCGATTAATAAATTGTTTATAGATAAATGTTATAAAAATTGTTTTTAGGATAAAATCAATAGTTTATTTAAAACATGTTCTTATGCTTAGATTGTATTTTATAGAAATGTATTTTTTTTTAAATTAACGACTTTGACTTTTTCTTACGTATATTTAATTATTTTTTTGAGATTCAATTATTGATATTGAAGAAGAAATCATTAGTATATTTGTGATACAATTGATTATATTTAAAATTAAGGATCGAAATTTTTCAAGTTAATTTAAACGAACAATTATTTATTCTTTTGTTTGTGTTTTTAATGAGAAAAACTATTTTATATTAAATTTTACCCTTTTTTTCACCTATTAAAAGAAGATCTTTCTAAATTTGTGTTCTCTTTTCAATGAGTAAATTGTTAGACATAAATATTTAAATATTATTACTCTTTAGTTGTTTCAAATAGATTCATTTCTCTCGTTTAAAAGAAAAAATAGGAAATGTTCTCAGAGTTAGATTGAAAAATGATGAGTTTTCATAGGAAGTTATTCGTTCGTTTTCAATATATAGATTTTTACGCTATTGAATTAAATTTATCAAGATTGAGAAAAAAAATACAAATAATAATTTTTCTAAGCTATATCATCCCACCAATCTTTTGACAATATTAATCTTGATGATATTAACTGACAATCGATTGAATATGATCCCATATTGAAATCATTTTTTCCTCCAGGTACTAAACGAATTCGAAATAATGATTCAAATAGAAATGGATAAATCATTAATATAATATAATACATAAA